ATTACCTGAGAAGGAAAAAGCTAAACACATCTCTGAAAGACTTTGGCAACTTTCATTATGCAAGTGCATGAAGAAACTTTCAAGAGACCAAATTGTATTGTCTCTTGCAAAATTCAATTCTTACATCCACCACAATTTTATGAAAGAAAAGAATTAGTTTTTTAATGATTTCCATAATTTTTATCTTATTCAACATTAAGTATATGCTAGTATATAGTACAGGTTATGCTTACTGTTTCAAGGACTTTCTTTCAGCCAAGCATTCTTTACTTAATATAGAGCATCCACCTTACAAAGTTGGTCTTGATATGGTATATCCAGCAAGCTTCTGCTCCATCCATGAAGGGTTCTCAGCCTAGCACAGCCTCAGGCCATACCTATTTTGAGTTATATTCACTGGGCCAACCAGAGCAGGCCTGCCTTTGAGTCTCATTGGCCATGTTCTTGGCTAGCATTTAATAAATGGTAACAGAAAGTCTACCTGGATCAGGCCTGATTTATTAGAAACAATTTTAGGTTTTCTCAAATAGAAACAGATCACATTTATGAGCAAAATAAAATCAATTACGAATTTTTGTGTGTTTTTAAATTATTCTTTTCATTAGCTGAAGCTCATTTTCCTAGGAACATAGATAAATAAATAGTAAGTGAGCATCATTGTATGATGATAAACAAAAAGACTAAATTCACATCCTTTAAACATTCTTATCAATCCTCTTATCCATCTTGCAGTATAAAATCAGTCTTATTCATCAGTCTCTGCCTCTTCCTCTATAGTTTTCTTTCAGGTTTCAGTCCTGAGCCAGTCTGAGACTTAACTAGCCAGCCAGCTTTGCCTTCCTAATCCTGACACCCCATGGTCTCATGCAGACAACTTCATGTATGTCCTGTAAGTGTGGGTATTGAAAGCTGTATGTATAATTTATTAATTTGCAATTGAAAATCTAGGTCTAATGCCTAGCATGAATGTTTATTCATTTCTTTTTACTCTTCTAACTAATGACTATATGTAACTTTATATGAACTTTACTATAATTTTGAATTAGTAATATAAAATAGCCTAGTCAAGCACAAGAGCACGCAATATAATCCCAGCTATTCAGAGTCTAAGGCAGGAGGATCACAAAGTCAAGACCACCCTGTCCCCAAATAAAAAAATTTTAAAATAAAAAGGCTAGGGATGTATCTTAGTGGTAGAATATTTCTTGGTTCAATCCCCAGTGCCATAACAAAACAAAATAGTATATAGGGGAAATTTCTCCCTGTGTGATTAATTTGTATGGTATCCTTAAAATTGTCTTGTTTTTCTTTAGATTACATAGGGCAGTCACATGATATGCTCATAGGAACTTGAGGGGCATGGATCTCTCACCCAAACTACTTCTTAACCCCAATTACTTGTAAGCAAAGGGAGACCACAACTGAAATGTAAGAAGCAAAATAGTGGGCAGGCCTGGAGCCAAGGATATTTTGAAGAGCCATCAGGACAATATGCAGTTTTTTCCTCCATCTTCTCTAAAAGTAAACTGTGATACCACTGGATAAGGAAAAGGCAGTATCTATACATTATTGTGCTTATGCTTAGGCACCCCAATAATCAAAGCATACTCAAAAATCCAGACTTATAGTGAGAACTCAGAGATTCAACCCCTTAAAATGATGACTGTGTTGTAAATTGTACCCCATAATTGGGATGTTATCATTTAAAGATCATATTACCACAACAATCAGTAGAATCTACAGAGTATCAAATAGTGAATCTGTCAAGGGAAGTTTAGTTTTTAAAATGATACTCATTTGGAATAGTGTTCATTTATGTCATAACTATCTTTAGTAATCAGAGAAACCTCATTTAAACTACCACCAGTAAACAAAAAGAAAAGATGTAGTTATTCAATTAAAGGGTTTTAATCTGTTTTTAACTATGTATGTGAAGCTGTGGATCATGTTTCAAAAAAATAAAGCCATCCCCCACCCCCAGCTTTATTTTAGAAATCGGTGCTTTGTGGCACCTGACAGACATGTTTAGTGCTCAGTAACTGCCTGCCAAGAACTCTGAACAGGAGGCAGGCCAGGAAGAGCAGGAGGGGTAGAGCTTAGCCACCTTTGCCCTTGCTGCTGCAGGCTGCTGTGCAGCTAATCAGACTATTTACACCTCTGTAAGGTGCTTGCAGGTGGATGAGTTCATGTCCCTTGATCTGGAAAGAACAGTTGAAAATAACAATATCAGTCTGGCAATAGAAACTGGAACAGAAAGCAGTGACAGCTTCTGCCCTGAATGGTACCTTAGAAATCACAGTGCAGTTATGATGCTGTAGGAAGACTTGGCCCCACAAAAACCTCCAGATATTTAGTTTTAAGAGGCGAAACAGATGCACAAATAACAACTATACCAAATCTTAGCTTCAAGACCCTGTTAAAATGCTGTCCCATCTCTTTCTTAACCCCTGAGCCCCTTTTCCATTGCTCCCCCAAGCAGCCAAGTCCTGCCTGATGCTAGCAGCGACAGTACTTGCTCTGTATCTCTCTTACAGTATTCCTCACTTTCTACTTTGCATGATAGGTACCTATGCATTAGTCTGCACTATAGTGCCAGCTTGAAATTCCTCCCGCAGAGGGTGCTCAGTGTGCAGGTATTGAGTCAGGCATTACAGTCTTCTCCAAGCAATCTTCTGCTGGAGGGAGCACATGAACCCTTCTAAGAAGACATGGGTGGTGTATACCCAGCTATCGCATGACAGACTTGCAAGCCCACTTCCTTTATACAGGGACAAGAGAGCTCTGAATCAGCACTAGTCATTTTGAATGAATTCTTACATAGCGCTTTGTTTATTCTGACAAATAGCTATTGGACGCTGGGTGCTTGGCACGATGAATACAAAAGAGTGCTCATCCTGATGAGAACACAAACTCCCTATTAAATAAGGTGCCATGAACATATTTCATAGAAAATTCTATCAATGTATGAAGAGGGGAGTGGCTAGTTCTGCCTGGCAGCTCAGTTGGGTCAGTGTTTCTAAACTCAGAGTCCAAGTCCAACAGGACGAATCAAAGGGGAAGTTCTGGGAGTCTCAGCAATCAGGTGGCTAAATTTTAAGCACCTGATTAGTGGTATGAGACTAAACTGAGGTTTATAGGAATGAAACAAGGTGGAGTCCTTCCTGTTACTTTCTTGCAATTTAAGAGCTTCTGTAATACCTCAGACCTTCAAATAGCTGTGAGACTAGGATATTTTTAATGGTTTCCATATGATCTAGGAGCACTTAGCAAAAATCTGAGATCAGTTCATTTAGAATCAAAGTTCACAGGATATGAAAAATTCTGCTGATGTCTAAACTTCACCTTAGCTTATGTTGGGAAATTCAGTCCTAATATTTCCACATTGAATCATTTAACAGATATTTCTTGAGTGCCTCATTTGTGCCATCCTTATTCTAGGAGTTAGTATTCAGTCTCCAGCTCCCATCAAGCTCCTCCACAGACCTTTGACCAGCAAGCAGCAAGATGCAAAAGGCAGGGGGAAACCCTGACAGCATTGTTTTTACAATGACATTTGCCAAGCATTTAGAAACCAAACATTGAATGGCAAACAAAGCAGAGGAATGAGATGACTTTCTGGGTAATCCAGTCAAAAATTCCATGTTAGGGAGACAGAGCCCAGATGCCTTCTTAAGTCATCCGAATAGTCTAGGCTGAGCTCTGAGCATCCATTATTTTGTAGTGTGCTAGGCATTTTGAAAACAGTATGACAAACAAAAATAATAATTCATATTTTCCAGGACAGAAACTAATCTAAAATCCTCACATTTTTAATGTGATTTAGAAAAATTTAAAGTCATGTTAGTTTTACAAAGCAACAAGTAAAAGATCTTAAGAATGAGCTTTGAAAGTATATACAACTGAATATATTATTTTTTAATAAAAATTACCAGTTGCATTTCTTCATTTTAAAATTATCATTTTAAAGCTGTCATGTTATAACCAACAATGAATGACTTAGTAGTTTAGATTATGACTAATGAATTTATTGAGTGTGTACTCTATGCCAGACCTTAGAAATACAAAGTACAGTGTAATAAATACATTAATATGCTATGTCAGATGCCCAGTGGTAACATAGCTACCTCCATGACAGGAAGAAGATAGAAAAGGCTTTGGAAAGGAAATAGTATATGCTAGTCGCAAGATGAAAAGACAGGTTTTAAACATCCGTGGTGTGCTGATAGAGAATGTAGTATGTGTCTGGTTTGTATTATTGTATGATATACTCCAAGCTGAAAGGCACCTCAAGGGTCTTCTGATCCTGTATCCCTGTCTTATGGCTGGTGCATTGGTTTTTCAGGGTCTTCTGGGATATAACTTCAGCTTTTCCTCCTGAAAGTAGGGGTGGGGAGTGGATTGAAATGGCCTGGAAATCTGCTCATTATTTTTATTTGTATATCAGATTACATAAAATTCTCATTGGGTTAAAAAAAAAATAGTTCCACAGCTAACACCCTGACATAGTAGAAAGAGGACAGGCCCTGTGGAGTAGTCCCACATTTGTAACCTCAGGTGAAAGAAATTAAATTATTTAATGTATAAGACAGTAATGCACCGAGCACATCTGAATTGTGTTTAAGTCATTTTTATCATGATCTTTTGGGGCCTTAGTTCCTTTGTTTACAAAATTAATGAGGGTGTTTCATATAGAAGGCTTGACCCTTAGTTCTAGAATTAACATGATTTTGTGATTATCTCTTAATGATGTGTAAGAACAGGAATACTTTCTCAGTATACTTCTCTCTATTGCTTTTGATGAGATAGTACTAGAATCTTGTTTTGTGAACTGTAACTGGTGATTGGTTTTAGAAAGTACACATTCTGGCACACTAAGCTGAGGCTGTGTCATACACATGATATGGACAGCTATGAGCTACGATGGTTTTTGTTGCACTTTATGCCCAAAGTCAAATGCTTCAAATTTTGCGTTTAATGAAATATTTCTCTTCTTTTGGTAGCCAGAAGTGCAACTTGCTGAAGGCTTTGATGTGTTTATGCCTAAGTCTCAGCTGGACTCTATACTGTCAAACTACACTCGCTCAGGAAGCCTTCTGTTTAGAAAACTGGTGTGTGCATTTTTTGATGACAAGACTTTGGCTAACTCCTTACCCAATGGGAAGAGGAAAAGAGGACTCAATGACAACCGGAAAGGACTAGACCAAAATATTGTGGGTGCAATAAAAGGTTGGTCTACATCATTTCATTTTTTGGATTCTTTGTTGTGTTTTGCCTTCATTCCATAAAAATGTAGCTGAAATTATAATAAACTAAGTAGAAGCTAATTTAATTTGCCCTTGCACCTTACCCACTGGCATGGCTCTTGGGTATGCACCTTACAACTCCCAACCCCAGATACCACTAGAAAAATATGGTATTTTAAGGTGATGTTAATTTGTTAAAATAATATTTTAAGAGCCAATTTGATCTGCTGCAGAACCAAAAAGTGCTTGTTTTAATTTGACTTTTAAAATGGAAGTATTTTTGTTTTCAGTAAATTTCTAAGGACTCCATCAATACATGATTTAAACTTAAGTTTTTAGGTATAAATAAGAATAAAGCTACCTATCACGTGTTAAAGTAAGACATTTCTCTCCAAAGTTCAGAAGCTACATTACCAGGCCATTGCATCTAAAGACATTTTAAATCTAAGTAAAGCCACACACTGTTCCTCTCCACACATTCCTAGCCAAATCTGCTCCCTCTTGTTTTATGACAGAAAGTCATGCCACCTATATGGAGAGACCGCCCTGGGTCTCCCCGCTGTACCTCCTTGGAGTATATGTATTCCATGGTGTTTCAACAGCCATGTGGGTTCATGGACGTGTCTCCATCTCTGTCTAGTTCCACATCCTAGACCTAGTTCTTCACTGTAACAGTGTCCTTATTCAGGACTCTGATAACATAACTTTAGGAAATAGAAGTATTTAAATGTTGTTAACAAAAAGGATGTATACAGCTGTGCACATATCAAGTTTGAGGTCAGCCTTAGCAACTTAGTGAGACACTTAGCAACTCAGTGAGACCCTGTCTCTAAATAAAAATAAAAAAGGGCTAGGGATGTGACTCAGTGGTTAAGCACCCCTGAGTTCATTCCCCAGTAATAAATAAATAAATAAATAAACAAACAAACAAATAAAATGGAAACAAAGTGTCAAATTTAAACACAACTACCATGAAAATGAAATTTTGAATAAGTCCTTAATTAAAAGTAGAATAGCTGATGAGGATATTCTTAACTGACTTAGTTCTGCATTGTCAGGGCTTGTGAGTGGGACTGACTCAGAGAGCCTTCCCTGTCCTCTCCTCTTGCCCATTAGTTTGCAAAATGAGTAATTGAATTTAATAGTACTTAAAGGATACTTGGAAACTCACAATTAACTTTACAAAATAATTCGAATTTTAAATGGAGTTAGCAAGTACCAGACACCCTTTGTTCATGGCCAGAAGGACATAAGCCTTCATTAACAGGAAATTTCTCATGCTCCCTCAGAATTTTTTCATTTAAAGTGGCAGCTGAGTTGTATTAAATAAGAAAAGCTACAGAGATATCACAATCTTGGCCATTTATGAAAAGAATGATTCAGCTCGAAGTGACACTAAAAACAAGATTACAGAATTTGAAAAACGGTCAATGATGTAACTAGGACTTGCTGAAATGAAGAAGGATCCATTTCCATTTAAACAGGCTGGACTTTCTCAGAACATGAAGGTCAAGGCTGCTGATACTTCTCTGAAATGCAGTCAGGAATTGTTTTAGTTGTCTCTTCCTTTCTTTCTTTCTTTCTTTCTTTCTTTTCAGGGCAGTATTTTAGCATTATGAAAGTATTTGAAATTAGGAACTATGACCCTATTCCATTTTAATGATGTAGAAAAGCTACCTTCATAATAGATGGTAATGAAATAGATCATTACAAGTAGACTAATAGAGAGGTTTATTCCACCATTCCAGACTGGACATTATACAAGAGTTTGAAAAAGTGAATTATAAACAAATAGAGATTGTGCCTTAATTTTTTCACAGCCCTACTCCTGCTAGAAATACAAACAGCAGTGAAGCCTCTACTCCTAATACCTAATAAAGCCAATTATTCAAATCAAAGAGCTCAAAATTTCCATATGCTTCTTTTATTGTTGAGTTAAATCTATCATTAAAATTCTATTAGGAAAATATAATAACTTGAAAACAGACAGAAATCTATCCCTAAATAGCCAATAGTCTTAATCAACAAATATTTTATGTTCATTTGTTCCCTTGTTGTGTTTATTCATAGACATATTTTCATTTTTTCCCCTGACTACACAAATAATTTATGCTTATAAAATACCAGACCTAAAAAAATATAGAAAACTTAAAGACCTCCATAATCTCATACTTCAGAGGTTACCCTGGACTTTCTTATTGTCCTTATTCAGAATATGAATGTGATATCAGGGTCGTCTGCCTTATGACAGAGACCCTCCATGAAGAACTCAGTTGTCATGAATCTATTACCTGGCAATTTCATAGGCTAGGGGCATCAGCTCAGATCACAGAAGCATAACTGGAGAGTGATGCCACAACCAGACAGACTTGGTCACAGGCTAGCACCATTCTTGGGGCCAATTTGTGTGTGTGTGTGTGTTCCCCTGCCCCTGTGAAGAAGTTATACTAAGTGTCTGCTCTCACTATGTTTCTAGGTATTCATGTGTCTTTGCACATAGTGAATTAGTATACTTTTTGTCTTGCTAACCTGCCTGTTAGTTTATTTCAGACTCAACTGAATCCTCATGGGGTGGAGGGAAGTCTTTCCCTCCCTTACACACTTCACAAGAACTGGTTTTCCATAAATACATGTTGGGTGAACAAGTAAGCATAGGGTTTTATTTTTCATCTTGATATAATGAGTGTGATGCAAATGTCTATCCTCATGTCTTCTCATAATCAATTTGAAACAAAAAAATCAAAACATTGTTGTAAATTTCTACTAGTTAAATTGCCAATGAAAGTAAAACAAGTAGAAACCAAGATTGAGTATAAATTTGAATACAATTATCTTAATTCCCTAATACATTTTCCTTTGTTATATTTTCTCTAACTGCAGGTTTATTAACCCACATATGACAATGTAAAGTGATTTTTGGAAGTAGCCATTAATTATAGGTCTTATAGAATAACTATACTCAGTTTAACAGTAAAGATATAAAAAGAAATTCATCTTCCTGATCCAAATCTTTTGGATCTGACTAATTTGGAAAAGAGATAAAATGGTTCTTCTACATAATAGTGCCAAGGCTATCTACTGCACACTTGGAAAACATTTTGTAAATATAAAGTATTCTTTCTTACTCCACCTTTTATGAGATAGTACCCCAGTAGTATATTTATTTGACAAGTCCACTTACCTAGGAACAGAAGACTGGTTAATTTTATAAAATCTCACATGTAAAAATAACAAATGGTACTTGATTTTGTTTCAAACAAGGATGATTAGATTGGTTAAAACAATAGTGGGGGAAAAAGATGAATGAAAATCTATAAAATGCTTATAAATAGGAAGAGAAATGCACTGAAAATAAAAGTTTAAATAAAACTTTTTGTAGTAGTAACATTCACCATGACAGTATCTTGAAACTAAACTATAAGATTATTTGTAGATTATTTTTTTCATATAATCTCATCTTTTAATCTTTTGTAGTTACTAAAACTCAGTGGTAATTCATTAAAAATTTATTTGTAATTATGACTCAAGGTCTTACTGATGAAAGGATACTTAATGAGAAGCACTCACCTGAACATCTGAACTCAGCTTTGGGAAGAAGTAACTTATGGTCTTGTTAAGTGAAGTCAAGTTTAACAATAAGTAAACTTGGTATCACGGATTTGATTCAGAATTTTTTGCCAGATCACAGAGTGGAGGTTAGTCCCCAGTGTGCTCCCCTTGCATCATGTGGTATCTGCTGAAGCAGCGATTGGTCCACCATCTGGCTTTCACCATGACATACCTCAGTAGACTTGCAGTTTGACGTAGAGTTACTTAAATGTGACATAATCATTGACTCCCCAAATACTCTTAAAAAATATAGTTTCAATAAAGACATTTTTAGAACCCATTATGATTTTTTAATTCAGCATCATAATGACTAGTTAAGAAAGTATTATTGCTGTCGAACTGGACTGGAGTCTTGAGTCCTCTTGCATTCAAAGGAAATTACATATGTGCGTAAGCAAAAGAACTGATTAATGGTCATTAGTTTACTTGACACAAATTGCTACTCTGTTAAGAGGTCAGCACTGATGGTCTGCCTGGATAGCCACAAGGGATCAGAACTTCTCTGGGAGGGAACACTTCTTGACTGGTGATTACTCCAAAAATTCAAACTGGAGTGCCTAACTACATTCAATGTCACCCTCTCACAGGCTCTACAGAAATGACCACCAAAGCCTCTCATTTTATTTAAACAACTCTAGACACACATAGGGTCACTTTTTGTCATTTTATAATACCTCTACTTTTCATCATTATTGTATATCATCATTCATTCTCTTGGGATTTATAAAAAAAGTAAACAGGCATTTTCTATTTAATCTCACATAGGTTTGAATTAATTGAGGTGGAGTTCATATCTGATTTATTATGTATTGATTGATAGTAATTTCTCTGTATTCTCAGAACTCCCTTTAAGCACAAGGCTAAAATATCAATTTCAATTTGAATATCCCTTCAATGTTGATGATTTTATTCCTGTTTGCAGGAGAAGACATTTAGTCTGAGAGAAATTTAAGTAAATTCATTTAACTTAAACAGCTTGTGATAGAATCAGGATTTAACCCCAGTTCTATCTGACTCCAAAGCCATTTTTCAGCAGATTTCATTTATAAAAGGAGTATTTGAAAAATAAAGGCATCCTGTCTTTAAATTTCTACCTTAAAATCTAGCATTTTTTTTTATTCTTTATAAATTCCAGTAGGAAGGTGGCCATACTAATGTTTAAAATACCCAGTCAGTTATTGTTTGTGCAAAGAATATTCAAAGTGAATTTTTGGTTAAAATATAGCTATACCTCAATTTATTTCACCAGCTTCAAGAGTAGGTCTTTTCATGAGACTCAGTCCCTTGATGCTAGAGAGGAAAATAAAAATTTGAGTTGAACTCAAAGTTTCTTCCTAAAGAAGAAGGGGGAAAAAAACTTCTAAGACTCTTCCA